GGTAATCTTAAATGAATAGGGAACCTATTAAGAAGTAATACTAATGTGGTCCCGGAATAGGATAAGATTTTCAGCAATGAGGAGAAAGGGTTTAATTTGTACAAGTCGGTCATTAATTTAGGTTTCATATTAAAAACATATAGTTGTATAAAATTGCTGGGTTTTTTTATTTATCGAAAATTTAATATAATTAAATTAGAAGTATTTACTCAGTTTTTCTATAGGGTACTAATAGATATATTTATAATACATTAGTTGAAATAAATATATAAAATATCTTGTTAAACCTAAACGTAAACAAAAAATGTATGCTAAATATTATTAATATTTTTTTATAATTAATATCATTAATCCAAAAAAATGTGTATGAAAGCTAAATAAAGAGGATTTCGAAAAGTGGTGAACTACAACAACAAAAATTAATTTTTATATTTTTTAATTAATTGAATTTTTGGCTGACCATACAGCTATTTCGAGTATAGCCAAATATCCATCATCAGTGGTCTTGAAAATGATTCTTGTATTCGTATAATTAATCGTAAAAAATTTATTGAGATTCAAGTACCAGGAATCGAATTCGTGTCCTGCTAAATTTAAAGCTCCGAGTCAGCGCTCCTTAACCAACTGACTCAAAGCCGTACTTGACTTATTATGTTCGCTAATTTTTCTGGAGTTTTGTTAGTTTCCTGTGAAAGTTTGTTAAAAAATTCACTTGCTGTGTTTATATTAGAACAAAATCATAAACCAGCTGTAGAATAATTGAATTAATTAATTATATTTTTATTTTTAATTGTTGAATTTCAATACTTATTCTGTTTGTATTATTTTGTTGCTTGATTTATATATTCTTAAAAGCTAAATATTAATTAAATTATTTAAAATTATTATTAATATTATTATTATTATTAATACAAAAAATGTGTATATAAGTTAAGTATTTATCATAATTTCTTATAACTTTTATTATTAATTTAAAAAATCTGATAAATTTAATATTATATATATTTTTTATTAAATTTTGAATTTGTTTCTCGATGTTTTTTTTTTATAATATTTTTTATATATATTTAATATCCGGCTTTAGATTACTTTTTTTAAATCAAACATTCGTTTAACATTTTTTAATATATTATATATATTTGTATTTTTTATAATTATTACTACTAATATATAAAAATGTTTATATAAGTTAAATATCAATTATAATTTTTTAAAATTATTATTATTATTTTAAAAAAATCTAATTCTAAATTAATTATTATTTATATTTTTTATAATTATTAATATAAAAAAATATAAACATAAAATAATATATATATAAGTTATATATTTATTATAATCTTTTATAATTATTATTATTAACTAAAAAAAAAACTAAATCTAAATTTAAAATTATTTATTATTATTAACTCAAAAAAAATATAAATTAAATATTATTTATATATTTTATTAAATTTTGTATTTGTTTCTCGACTTGGTTTTTTAACAAAATTTTTTATAGATTTTATGTACGGCTATAATATTCAATTTATTAAAAATATATTTAATATTTTTTAGTATATTCCACATTACGACTCTCCTTTACATTTTTTATAGCTATTATTATTAATAAAAAAAAATGTAAACATAAGTATATACATATTAAGTATATACATACATACTTACATAGTATATACAAGTATATACATATATATTAAATATTAATTATAATTTTTTATTACTATTATATGAATTATTACTAAAATGATTCAATGCTTATTATAAAGCAACATATTATTAAATATTAATTAGGGAAGTTGATCAAGTAGTTCTCTTTTATTTTTGTTTCTACTCTCTCATTATTATATTTATCTTGTTTCTAGCTGTTATAAATAATAAAAAAAATAAATAAAACGTATTAATTAGCCAATCAGTTTTTTCCAATTATTTCAATTAGCAGTTGAAATAATTTTATTTATATAATAATTGCCTTGAAACGTCGTTTGATATGAAAATTTGCTCAAATCAGATTGGCTTAATTGTGATGGAACATATAAAATTATAGTTGTGTCTGTACTATTGTGTGCAACACAATCAAATAATTCAATTGAATTATTAGAAAATAAAACCCGCCCATATACAAGACCATAGTTTTTGTAATGGTAAAAGGGCGTATTGTATTGATATGAGAAGATGCAAAAATTTATTAAGAGAGCACAATTTCTTTTATATTGAAATAATGGAATTGATTTCACCTGAAAAAGAGACGGTCTCGGATTGGCTAAGAAATTGTATTTAACTGCCACATACAAGTGTACAGCGCACAAAGTTGTTTTTGTTTAATTGAGGGGAGAGTAAAAAATACTCATTTATCATTTATAAAACATGTTGCTGTAGCTTGATGCGTTGTTTTTTTTCTTATTTTTGTCGTTTTGCTTTTGCCTTTTTGTTTTTGTTTAATTTGTATGTAAAAAACTAAGCAGCATACAGCACGAAAAGCAGCTTTGGCTTTTTATATAAAATAACAATAAAAGCATCAACACAATTTTTCAAATGAGAGAATTAAGTTTTTTGAGCGAAACAAAATGAATATGAAACATACATTTGTTGCGATAAAAACAAATTCACCACGCTTAGCACCATAATATTTTCTCCTATGCTCAAATTGAATTGAATTGAAAATAAAAAAAAGTATAAACAACAAAAATAGCAATTTTGATATCTCGCTGGTATGATATTTGTTGGTGCTAGTGCTGTTGCTATTGCTGGTGGTGCTGCTGCTGCTAAGTGTTCAAGCAGGCAATCGTTATATGTTTTGTTGTTGATACACGAGTTCGTGTTGTTTTTGTTGTTGTTTTAATTGGAAGAAAAAGAAGGACTGTTTCATTTCAGAATTCCAATTCAATTATAATCATTTTATTTAGTTTAGTTCTCACCGTCGTGTATGTTGGAACGGTGTCGGACGAGTGTTCAAATGGATGTGTTGTAGATTTGCGATTGATTTAATTAAACTTTTATATTAAATTTATTAAATGTTATGTGTACAACAAGTTTATATGTTGATATATATATGTGACAACAGTGTTAATTAAATGTAATAACTTATTAAAAAAAATAAACTCTGTTTATTAAAATAAAATAAAAAAAATTAGTAAAACAAAAATAATATTTAAAAACTTTTAACTAAAAAAATTATAAAACAAATAATTTTTACAATAAAAAACAGTATTTCGTACGGTACCTAGCGGCGCTTTTTCAAGAAGAACGTGTTTGTCTCCTCGTTTCAGCATTGCATATGCAATTTATGTATAACGGTTTGGTATGTTGTTGCTTTTGTTTTAATTACTTTTGGCTTAATTTTTTTGTTACACAAAATATATTCACAAAAGGAAAACCAAAAAAATGAAAAATGTAAACTTTCCAAATAAACAAAAAGGCTTTTTATGCTAAACAATTGTTTTTGATTTTGTTGTTGAGTTTTTTAATGCTGATTAAAATGCGTCCTATGTAGACTAGAGAGAGAGCAAAGAAACACTGCAATCAAGCAATTAAGCAAATAACAATTAACAAAGTGCAGATGAAGTGTGTGTTTTTGTTGTTGTTGTCGTCAAATGTTTGCGCTTCAGTTTTTTATATAAAATATTTGCAAAAATAATACGAAAGAGAAATAATTTGATTAAATTATAAATTTTTAATTTTACCATTCCAAAAATAAAAGAAATTCATTTGTGAAGAGAAAAATATATTTTTCAATAAATGCAATTAAATGCACTAAACACAATGGATTGCAGCGTTCGTTCAAGTCAAGCCGATTCGGATTTAGGTGACGATTTGGTAAGGAATTTATTCACAAAAATAATTAGAAAAAAAAGTAAATATATAAATTCCTTCTTCCCTATGTACATAAATGTTACTTCTTAGAATTGTAAATAGTACCCTCGTATATACGTTTATCCTCATGTCTATAGAAATCTAAATTAACCAAAAAGCTGGCATAGCACCGTTCTTAGCTTAATTTTAGGAATAGAAAGTTATGGAAGGCGTTGAAAAATTTTATTATTTTTATAAAATATTAACACAGTCAAATTTTCATAACTCGAATTTTTTATAACTCGAACTAAATAGAATGCAGCAGGGTTTAGAGAGCAAAATACATACAATAACAAAAAAATTTTTTAACTCAAAGTCTCCATAAGTCGAACCTTTTCTTTGCAAAAAGATACATGGAGTTATAGAAGTTGAACTGTATTTTAATATTAATATTAAAAATTAATGTTTTTTTTTTGTTTTATTAAAAAAAATTAAAGAAGATCTACCCATATGCGATAAATAATAAAAAGGCTTAGCACCACAGTTTAGTTGTTTTTTCGAAAAAAAATCAGAAAAAAAAATATCGAAATATTTTCTTTTATCGAAAAAGTTTTAATTATAATAATTTGTTACCGGGCTAATTGGTCAAATTTTAATATAAATAAAAAGACACTAATTTATTATTTATATTTAAAAATCGTTTATATTTTATTTCCGATATTTCGACTATCTTCGATAGTCATCTTCAGGGAAAACTACACAAAATATAGGATGTTCACATTTTTATAGCGGATTATAAAGAAAAATCATACAATGTTTTTTTTAATATTTATAAAAAAGTTTTAAAAATTTTTTTTTATTTACAAAACTATAGAAAAACAAATAAACTGTTACCAAAATTCATAAAGAAATTTAATTGAAAAATTACTCTTTTTTTTTAAAGTTTATAGTGTTTTTATTGAATTGTTTATTTTTATTAAATTTAAAAATAAATGAGTATTTATTTTATTGTTTTTTTTTTTCAAAAAAGCTTTATAACAAAAAATATTTAAATAAAAATTCTGTATTTTAACAAGCTAATTGGTCAATAGTTAAATAATACAATTTTTAAAAAAATTTTGTTTTTCAAAAGATTTTATTTGAACCGATATTTCGACTATAATCTATAGTCATCACCAGGGTACTACATAATATTATTATAACGTAAAAATTTTCTTTTTGTTTTTTATTAGTAATGTATACTAAAATTTTGCTACATTATATAGTACCCTGATGATGATTATAGAACATAGTCAAAATATCGGTTCATATAAAATATCTTTTGAAAAACAAAAATTTGTATTACTTAACTATTGACCAATTAGCCCCTTAAAAAGCAAAATTATTATTAAAAAATATGTGGCTATTATTGTTTTAATTATTAAAAAATATTTTAAAATTAATTGTTTCGTTTTCTTTTATTTAAAATACTACATATATATTTTTATTATATTTTTTAGTGTTTTTTAAAAAAAGTTACTAGTAAATAAATTTGAAGTATTCGTTTAATTTATAATTAAAATATTTTAGTTTGTCAGAAAAGCTTTTATTTTATTAATTTTATTAATTTTATTAATTAATATATATATATAAAATATAAATTTTTATTATATTTTTTAGTATTATTTTAAAAAAAGCTACTAGTAAAAAAATTTAAAGTATTCGTTTAATTTATAATTAAAATATTTTATTTTGTCAGAATAGCTTTGTGTATTTTATTAATTTTCAAAACTTAAAAAAAAATATAAACAGAAAACTTAAAAAAAAATTTAATTCAAAAATTATTTTTAATATAAATTTAGTAATGTTGAAAAAAAATTGAATAAAAGCTATATTAATTTAATTTGATTTGCAAAAAAAAATTAAAACAAAAAACTATTAGAAAAATATAAAGGAAATTTTAAAATAAATTCTTTATCCAAAAATTAGTATTGTTTTTTTTATATTGTCAGAAAAGCTTTATAATTTTTAATTCAAAATTATGATGTTTTAAATTTAAATATTTAAAAATTTGTAGTTAAAAAAAATAAAAAAGAAAACAAAAAAGGCTGAAATAATTTTGAAAAACATTTTTTTATTAAAAAAAATCAGTATTTTATTATATATAATTAATTTTCAAAAAACCCAATGAAAGTTGTAAAAAAGCTAAAACAAATTTTTTAAAGAAAAAACAAAGTAATGAAAATTTTGAAAAAATTAATAAAAAAATTTAGTTGAAAATAATTATTTAATTAATTTTAATTCATTAATTTTAATTCAATTAATATTAATATCATTATTTTGTCACTAAAAATTTATGACAAAACAGTTTTAATTTATTTTGTTAATTTAGAAACAGAACATTTTATAACAATTTAAAAAAGGAATTAAATTTCAAATTAATTTTTTGTGTTTTATGAATCGAATTTATTGTTTGATTAAAAAAAACTTAAATTTTTATTCTTAAAAAGTGTTTTTTAATATAATAAATTTTCAATATTTTGATTATCTTCGAAGGCATCTTTAGAGTACTTTTCATATTTTTTAAAATTATTAATTAAAATATTGTAAATATATATTGTATATATAGTCTTAGTTATACATTCGGGAAATATTTCCCATTTTTTAACATTTTTGAAAGAATATCATAACTTTCAATAGCGTTGTTTTTAAAAAAGAATATCTATATAAAGTTCATTTATTTTAAAAATATTTTTGAGATTATTTTTTTTAAAATTATCCAAAATTTTTTTAATATAGTTAATATATATTATTTTCTAATGAAAGTTTTTTAACTGTTATTTAATATTTTTTTTGATATCAAAAAAAAAAAACAAAAAAACTTAGTAATTAATTCTTGACATACTTCTAAATTATTACTCATCCAATGTGTTTGTTATAGTTACTTATGTTTAGAAAAGTAGTTAATTGACTAGTAGTTAATTGTCTAAAAAGAATCAGTGATGTTGAGAGGTTAAATCGATTACGTCTGGTAGCTCTCATACCCATATTAATGTCATGAAACGTGAATCTAATTGTTATATTAGATTTTTTGTGAAATTGGAAACTAATTTTATTTTCTTCCAAAGATTTTATTAAGGAATAATTTTAATTTATATTTTTTTAATTAAAATTTGTTAATAGTACTTTTCAGTATTTTTTTTTAAAAGCACCTAGCTTGTGCTAGGTGTCCAGTTTATTATTTATATTTTTATATTCAATTATTCAAATTTACAATAAAATGCAGATGTACATACTTCTATTTAGATGCGAATTTGTTATCTTAATACTTATTCCTATTAATTTACTTCCCTAGGTTGCCGGCAATTACAATCAATATTAATTAATCTATATAAACAACCTTATTTAATTTCTAGTTAAAAAAATAATGCTCAGATACTTTTTAATTATTCTAAACAGTTTCTCATTGTATATTTCTTTAAATTAATATTGTATACAATCATATAATTAGTAGACAATATAATAATAATAATAATAAAAGTCATAAGTATGATATGTACTGTATATAATATCTCAACTCCTCGTTACGGGGAATATCACAAAGGACCGTATTTTGGCTTGAGTTAACGCTTATTAAAATCCACAGACAAAATTTTATCCAATTAATGTCTTTACAAGACAAATTTTATTGCAAACTAAGTATAAGAATAAATGGTGGAGTAGAAATTAAATTTAATAATAACAAAAAAAAATAAATGTATTTAAAATTTTTATATTGGGGTACTCACGATCTCGAGTAACTAGCGCCGAGTAACACGGTGACACTATAAAATACCAATAATAAAATGCATGTCTGCGAAATGTTTTTTGTTGTTATTGCTTTGCACTTCTACTATGTTACTCCTTTGCTTAGTTCCTTACATTATATCATGAATACCCCTAAAATATTGTATTGAAAATTAGCAATTAGACAGATGTAATATAGCTTAGCAATAAATTAATGTTAGTTTTTAATATCGGCTTTCGTTCTATAATTTTGTTATATGGAATATAAGTATTTGTCTATAACATTTTGCACTTAGTTTAGATATGTTTTGACAGAAATGTTTAAAATAACTCAGTTCCTTATGCACTCTCCATGGCAACGTGACTTGTACAAAGTAATTAGTCAATTCCTAAGCCTCAGCTCTGATAAAATTTTGGTTGCTAATTTCAGAACCGGGAGTTCTTATAACCAAATGATGTCAAAAAATCCTTAACCGCTGAGAGTTTTGACTTCACTCCTATAGCTGATTATCTTCTTCTCAGTTAGGTTTAGTTAGCAACGCAAAAGATCTGTCATGTACTTCTGTACTTCGTTTATTTCAAAATTTTCTAGCGTGAGGCAGTCGATTGGTTAGAAACTTCTTTCACCGGTCAGATGCGGAACGGGAAATTATCACTCATATAACCCACCAAATTCTTACTTAAGTGATTCTTATCTTTAATTGTCGATTTAGCAGTGTATGTAGAGTTTAATTTTAAGGAGGAAAACAGTGGTGTGTTAGGCGAATGTAGTTTTGAGAACTAATTTCAAATTGAAAATTGTTCAATTACAAAAAATCTAATAAGATTCTTTACCTAATTTGGCGAAGTTTACAATTCCATACTTCCTAATAAGAAAATTGCCTGCAAAATATTGTGATATTCACCACAAACCCCTAATGCCAGTATTCCGATTATTCGCGTGAAACTGCATTAGCCGTAATTTTTTTTCTTTCAGAGCTGTAAAAAAACAGCATTAACTGGTTTATTTTTGACAAATGTTTTTGGTTGTGTGGTACATAATACGAAATAAAAAATTGTAAGCACTAAAAATTATTTAATTTAAATAAAGGAAAACAAAATGAATATTAGTAGGGAAATGGTTAGCATTTTTATCGTATATATTTAAATTAATTTGTATATTTATTTGAATTTCTCACTAAACGAAATGCTCATGCGATTTTAACGAATAATTGAAATTTCGCAACATTTTTCCAGTGTACATTCACAATAGAGAGACT